GCGTGCTTCTCACTGTGAAAATCACAGTGAGACCACGCAAGCGTCCATAGGAAAGCATTATGAATGCTTTCCTATGCGACCGGCTGAATGCGCGCGCAGCTCTTGCCGCGCGTGCGCATTCAGCCGGCGGGGCGTAACGGAGGAGGAGAGCTCCCCGCCCAGCACTGGAAAAATGTACGTTTTTACCCCTTTCCCCCTTCCAGAGCCGGGCGGGAGGGGGACCCTGAGGGTGGGGGCACCCTCAGGGCACTATTGTGCCAGGAAAACGAGTATGTTTTCCTGGCACTATAGTGGTCCTTTAAATGAAAACTAAAAAATAAATAAAAATTAATATGTGTCATAGTGTAGGTGATTTTCAATGTTTTATTCAATAGTGTAAACTCCAGAGAAGTGACACTGTTTCCCTTTAGAACATATCCTTTTAATTTGTTTGTATCAAGGTTCATGTTCTAATCTAAAGGGTGAATAGATCCCACTGATAATGTAAAAAGGAGTTGATCTGACTAGTCTGATGAATAAAATATTTTTTGTAAATGAAAATTTTATTGACATTCAGCAACAGCATGAATAAGCCAAGAAAGAAGGACACGCAGATCCCCAATTAATACAGTTGTCTTTCCTTTCCTTTTCGGTTTGTTTACATTATAGCCACGCAGGGTCGTTTAGGAGTTAACCAGTGTAAGCATAAAGGTGACTATCTGAGACCGTATGTCAAAGAACGCTGCAAACAAAAACATGGAAAAAGAAGCAAAATAAAATCTAAAAAATAAAAGTCATAGCAGCAAAAAACTCATCTGCGGAACCACAAATTAGAGTATAATCCACAGAGGTTAAGATAAAGTTAGTCAGGCCGCCTGAACCTGTACGCCTCTATTACACAAAGTAAAAATCAGTAAGCCGTTAACTGGTGCTAGTACTCCTCAGCACCCTCCCCACAGGGCTTAGCGTGAACCTGCTCCAGTATTGGAAGCATGCACCCCATCCCCGTGTGGACGATACGGGGAAAAGCAGCAAGCAGCATAAAGGAATAGAGTCTTGGCCTTCCCTATACATGCATAAAATATTTTATTAGCTTCATATAACACTAAGAATATCACATTCCCATCAGTTTTAAATTGCACAATTATATCATTAATCATGACAAGTTCCCTATACTTATATTTTTGTGGAGTCAGATTAAATGCAGCCTGAAGAAAACAGTGAGCGTTTGATGCGTCATTGGCCATAGAATTAAAAAAAATGCTTCTTATATTTTAATTTATTACTTAGTTGTGTTTGGAAATTAAAGGAAGAATAATCTTAATTTTCTTTGCTTAAAATGCTCTCTGTTTTTGCAGCCTAGGATAGTACCTTCCATAAATAAAGAGTTCACAAGTCTGTTCTGTTGCGGTTACATTACAATGATAGTGTATTGCCCTGATGTAATTTCTCTTATATGATGGTCTTTGTGTGGTATCCATGGAAATGAGGCAACACTCACTAAAATAAAAACATAACCAAAACCACAATTCATAATAAAATAGCCAAATAAGGAATCTAATTGTTCAACATTGAGAATATGCATTTTGTTTTAAAATTCAAATCTGGATACTTTGTAAAACTGTGGTTTCTGTAAATCCCCCCTATACTCCAGGCATTTCTTGCATAATAGATTTTCTTTTTGATGTTTTTATTCTTAAGATTTAAAACACATGGTTAATGTTAAGATTTTTACCAACTGAGCTGTAATTCTCATGGAAATGTACCTTCTTAACAAGAACAAGTGTGATAGTTCTAAGAATGGAGTTCCAACTGTATTATTTCATTCACAGATTTGAATAAAAGCAGGATCAAACTTTCATTCTTATAAGTTTAATAAGACATCTGTGACCAAGTTGATTATTTTTTAATCGTGGGTAACCATAAATTAGAAAGGTACTAGACACTAGAGGCTTTTTTTATTCACGTATGATCATGTTAACAAATACTTACATGTAGACTAGTAAACAAAAATTTTTTCCTGACTGATTATTATTATTAAACTTATAGATTCGCAGAAATATCATATACTGTACAGATAATGTTTCACTGAATTGTAAGGTTTGCAAAAGAATTGTAAAGTCACTTTCCTAAATTCGACATGTCCCCCCTCAGTATGCATCACAAACCTATTAAATATGTGAAAATGAATACCTCTAATACGTATGCAATAAAAATGGACCCCTTTTGACAAGTGTGGCCATTTTATTTTAGTAAATAAGTACAGGATTTGCATTATTTTTAGTCGAGTTCTTATTTAAGAAGGTGGACAGTGACAGACTATCAAGGAGGGATGAAGATATAGAATAAATTATATTTACTATTAAATATATAATAAACAGTACCATTTCTCCAACATTACCATAAAGCTGTTCAGAAGCTCAAGGAAGCAAAGTGAAAGGGGTCTGCCTTGACGTTGGCAGGAGGGCATTCCCTCCAATGGCCCTTGGAGTAACTAAATGAACTCCATTTGTTTAAAAATACATAGGGATTTAGGAGAGAGCGCAGGTAACTTTTTCTTTGGTTTTTACCATAAAGCTGTGCCTGGCCCTCCTAGGTTTGTTCCCTTGTGTTCTGCACCTAGAACGCTATGAATTTCTTATCAGCAAGTGTGCTGCAATTGCATTATAAGACATAATGAGAGAAGACCAATAAGAGTTTACAGGAGTATTAAGATTAAGCGAAGAATGGGGTTTACGAAACTTTAAGGTAGAGAGATTAAAACTATTGAGAAAAGTGGGATACTTTAAGGGACTAATGGCGAGATACTTGGAGTTGACAGAGACATTATAAGTTGATGCCTTGGAAGAGTTTTGAGGCAGAGGATAATTACAAGCAGTGCAAGACTCTGGACATAGAGATGCTTGTGAGGTGTCCACCAAGTAGATTCACAGAAAATTATTTTGAGGCTTCTAACTGCTTTCTGGTAACACTATACTGAGACAGGGTTCTACTTCCAAGTTTAAATACATCTAATAACATTGTCTTAATACCAGTCACTGGGTATTCAGTTCACAAACAACACTGGGAGATAGTAGTGAAACAGTTAGCTCAGGTGTTACTTTTCGTATTCTGTATTGCACTTCACCCCAGCAATAACTGTTGGGTGTGGTTCCAAATCCAAAGACTCTGCTGGCGCAAATGGTTGTTGAGAATCTTTTTGGGCTTCACTAGCTGAAAGAATACTTTGGTTTTGATGTGATTTGACAGGATAGTAAATACATTCTGTGTCACTGCCCGAATCCATAGGCTTGGGGGTCTATTAATCTCAATTTATTGTTTAGTATGCTACATCGACTTCATGGCAAATATCATCCAATCTGCCAGGAACCACTCACGCTGCACCCTAAAAAGGAAGTTTTAGATATCTGAACCATGATTAAAGTATTTTACTTTTTATGTTGTCTTGAGAATGTTGAGTAAATACCTAAATGTTTAATGCAAGGAATTGGTTTATTTTTTTCTATTTGTCTGCAATGTATATATTATGTAGATACAGGATTCTTTTGTATGGTATGACTTTCTCCAGTTTAGGGGCCATTTCTGATTGCTGAATATTCGTTTCCCTGCTCTGTTATGTTTATGTATTGTTTTGAGTGTGAATGTTTGGTTGTTAACCCCTTAAGGCCGCAGCCAAATGTACAAGTTGTGATCAAAACAAAACCTGGCATTTGCGCTATATGTCTGTCCGACCGTAATTCTCCTCTTTCATATTAAATGCACCCACACTTATTATATATCATTTTATTCAGGGGAAACAGGGCTTTCATTTAACATCAAATATACGGTTTGCTTTTACTGCAATAAAATACACATATTTGTATTCAGAGATGTCGCACGTGTAAAACAGTACCCCCTATGTACAGGTTTTATGGTGTTTTGGGAAGTTACAGGGTCAAATATAGCATGTTACATTTTTCAGTTTTTTCACAATGAAATTCACCAGTTTGGTTACGTTGCCTTTAAGACTGTATGGTAGCCCAGGAATGAGAATTACCCCCATGATGGCTTACCATTTGCAATAGTAGACAACCCAAGGTATCGCAAATGGGGTATGTCCAGTCTTTTTTACATACCCCACTGAACATACCCCATTTGCAATACCTTGGGTTGTCTACTTTTGCAAATGGTATGCCATCATAGGGGTAATTCTTATTTAACAAAGGCAACGTAACCAATCTGGCGAATTTCAATGTGAAAAATCTGAAACGCAAGCCTTATATTTAACTCTGTAACTTTTGAAAACACCATAAAACCTGTACATGAGGGGTACTGTTATACTCAGGAGACTTAGCTGAACACAAATAGTTGTGTGAAAAATGCAAAAAACGTCACTTTCACTGACGACATCATCGTTGTAATACATTTTATGGTTTTGAAAAACAAATATTCGTGTTCAGCGATGTCTCCCGAGTAAAACAGTACCCCCCATGTACAGGTGTTCTGGTGTCTTGGAAAGTTATAGGGTTAAATATAGTACTAGCAAATTAAATTCCCTATACTTTCGGCCTGGGTTGTCAGGCAGGTCCCTCTAATTGTAATTAATAAAAGGACCTAATTATGTAAAATTATTACATAAATATATATGTAAAAATATATATATATATATATATATATATATATATATACATATATATATATATACATACACACACACGTGTGTGTGTGTATATATAATTTTTTTAAATTATTTTTATTTATATGTAGTTATACATATAGTGATATATATACGTATATACTTATGTATATAGATATATATTTCATTCTACGTGTATTTTGATATCAATATATATATATCAATATCAAAATACAGTTAGAACGAAATTAGACAAATTTTTTAATTTATTTTTTATTTTTATCTTTTAACATATTTACATATTTAATTATTTAATAATTACAATTATATATATATATATATTTAATCAATATCCTTCTACATGTATTTTGATATTAATATATATATATATATTAATATTAAAATACACTTAGACAGTGTATGTGTAAATGTGTATTTACATATATATATATATATATATATACACACACACATATATATACATACACACACATTTACATATATATATATATACACATTTACACATACACTGTCTAAGTGTATTTTCATATTAATATAAATATATAATATCAAAATACACGTAGAAGGATATTGATTAAATATATATATATATATATATAAATATATATATATATTTGTAATTATTAAATAATTAAATATGTAAAGATGTTAAAAAATAAAAATAAAAAATAAATTAAAAAATGTCTAATTTCGTTCTAACTGTATTTTGAGATATATATATATATATTTTATTTGTAACTGTAATATATTTTATTTTTAACTAATATTTTATTTCTCACAGGAGAGGGGGCAGAGACAATGTCAGCCAGTGATTTCACATCACTGGCTGACACACAGGATCAGTGATCACAGTGACTGACTGTCACTGTGATCACCTCCTGCAGATCACGGTAACTGGCCACAGGGGGAGTGCCTGGGTGGCCAGGCATGCCCCCCACCACGATATGCAGGGGGTTCCTGCCTGCTGTTACATGTGTCAGCCAATAGGCTGACACATAGTAACTCTGATCGCAGTGACAGGATGTCACTGCGATCAGATCGCAGTGAGAGGCTGTCTCTGCGATCAGATTGCTGAGACAGCCTGTCACTGCGATCAGACTCTGCATATCACGGTCACTGACCGCAGGGGGACTGCCTGGGGGGCCAGGCATGTCCCTCAACCGCGATCTGCAGAGTGAAAATGCCGTCAAATCTTCTGACACATGGTAAATACCGATCGCAATGATAGCCTGTCACTGCGATCGGAAGCTGCAAACCGCGGTCCCCGACCGTGATCTGCAGCGGCCATGTGCCATCGGCCACATGGGAGGCAAGACTGCCCAGGGCATTCTATGTTTTAGCAGCAGGTAGAAGAAAGATGTTTGGGACTATACCTTCCGGGCAGGTATAGTCAGAGTCGGTGCAAGGATTTTTGCCACCCTAGGCAAAACAAAAAAGCTGGCCACCCCATTTGCTCCACAGTGGTCCACATTGCCTTACCTTGAAGGGTTAAACAAGACTCTAGCAGCTGTCACATTGACCGCCACTAGAGACACCTCCGCTACAATGCCATATATATATATATATATATATATATATATATATATACACACATACACACACACATACATACATGCACATATACACACACACACACACACACACAGACTCACACATTCACTCACTCACACTCAATGGTCTACACAATCACAATCAGTAACCAATGAACACAAATTTACTGACTCATGCAGAGTGACACACACGCACACACTCACTCATGCAACATACACTGACTTATGTAGACTGACATACACACACTGGCCCAAGCATACACACACACACACACACACACACACACACTGACCCATGCAGACACGCACAGAAACCCAGACTCAAGCAGACACACATACTGATCCAGACACACACACACAGACCCAAGCAGATATACACACAGGTAGTCCACACACACTGACCAAAGCAGACACAAACACTGACCAAAGCAGACACACACACTGACACACACACACTGATCCAGACACACACAGACACATTGACTCAAGCAGACACACACACACATTGACTCAAGCAGACACACACTGACCCAAGCACACACAAACATACTAACTGAAACAGGCTGACACACACACCATGAAATCCCCCACTTGCCTTAATTTCATGTTTGCTCTCCATAAGTCCCAGTCATTCTATGCGCCCATGCGCTGCCAGCATGAGAGGTGTGTAAGGGGGGTGGCTCTCGGTGCTCTTTGCGTGCTGAGGTTGATGGCACCTGGCGCTAGTTTGCTCCCTAGTGCCATGACCTCCGGCACGCAATACAGAATTTGAGCCACATAGAGGGGGGCGTCCTAAGTCAGCAGTAAAACTTCTGCCAGCGCCCCCCTTTAAGAAGCCTAATCGGCCTACAGGACGCGCGAACCCTGGGTCATAGTCCACTTATGACCACTCCTTATTCTAGGAGTAAAGGGTAAACTTGAGGGGATTATATATGCCTGAAAGACAGGGCAGAGGGGACTATACTGGCCAGACCAGTGGGTTGATGGACATACTTTGTCCGGAATGACTGCAGTGGCGCGTTGTATTGGGGTCCTTGGTGTCAGAGAATAACTGAAGTTATCCATAAAACATACATAAAGATAGCAGTATGTTGCATTACATCTGGTTTCTTCATCCATGTAAACAAGTGGTTGTAGAAGAGCAAGGAAAATGAAGGTCAGTTATGTGTATGCTCTGTAGTCCAGCTGTCGGACTAAATTTCTCATGATACCCAGCCATTCAAATGTTCTTTAAGCGACAGATGCCATGCTAAATGTTAGAAATCACAGATATAGACTCTCACAGTATTCAGGACCTTTATTTTTTTTTTCGTAGCTGTAGTGACTACTTCCTTGAATAAATTACTTACTAAATTACTTAAATTCCAGCACGCACAGACACTTTAAACTCCCCCCCAAAAAAACAAACCAAACAAAAAACACACAGACGTTTTTGATTCAAGCTGTTGTCTAGTTTTCTTCCCTTTTTATCTCTCTGTACTATTTATATTTGGTGGAGTGTCTGCAGCATATGATTTGTTTTTATATTTCCCTATTTTCCCACAAGCTGATACAAAAATGTTTTGGAAAAAGGAATTGCAAGCATTTTCACAAAGCACATTATGGTTTAGAGTTGGACTTGAGGCATATTATAAGTCTGGGTTTTGGACGGGTTTAAGTCAATATATGTGCGAGGGGGCAAAATATACCTCTGGAGAGACACCCCTGGTCTTTTTGTCACTATGCAATGCCTCTGAACAAAGACAAAACATGTTTTTCAGTCTGAAACCATAATGGATCACCACTGGTCTGTAAGGACTAGAGGTCAGCAAGACACTTTATGACTTGTTTTATTTTATTTGTTTTATTATAATTAATCAACTGATAAGACAATTAGTTGGGCTTTACATTTGTTCACCCAAAACATTTTTAATTATAAATAATTTTGTTTAGCTTTTAATTAACAGCTTCTTAACAACCAACCTAAATCCATACCATCATGATCATTTTCTTTAAAAACTCTCTGCCAGCAATGAATGCCCTGCTCCTTTTCTATTACCATACCAATTGGGCCTCGTTTACATGCAATAGTAGGGTAACCAATAAACAGATTGTTATGACAATGTAAATCATCATTGGTCATTAGAGTGTTCCCTTCACAAATAAAAATAAAAAATAAAAATAAGTTTATACCGATTTACCTATTTTGAGAGTTAACTTCTGTCACATTCCCATCACCAACATCATCCTTTTGCAAGCGCTGTCTCTCAAGGCGAGCCCGACGGCGGCGTTCTCTTGCTGCTTCTTCCTCGTCATCATCATTTCTTTGATAGGTAACTCTGTAAAAAGAAAATATACAATTTAGTAAAGATAGACTAAATAAAGGCAACCACAGGATCCTAAGAATTGCTTTTACCAAGGGGTACTGAAATAATTAAATTGTTCCTAATACGCCACCAGTGTCTGGAGTTTCCATAAAGTATGTAGACATATGGGACAATGAGATAGTGAACAAAAACTTGCTCAGAGAAATTCCTGTATTTTCGTACTGAGCAAGAAGTTGTCCAATGGTCAAATGAGTTTGCTCTGGACTCAATCACAAGCAGCATACCCTCTAAAGTTGGAGAAATTGATTGCACATGTTAGAGTAAAGGCAGGCTGGAACGTTCTACTTCTTGACTAGTGAATTTCCTTTCATAGAGCTTTTCCTCCCCCATGACAACATAAAAAAACTAGAAAAGCTACAATTTCTGGGGAAATTGTGTGAAGTATTCTTGCCTCCACCAGTAGTCTACAACTGGAGTGGGCGACTTAACTGTTATCATTTATATAACACATTTAATTGCAACGTTGTTGCACAGTTACATTAAACCATACATTTATAAAAACATTAGCAGGTGTTCAAAAGGCCCTGTCTATGACATCACTTGCTGCTGCAGCTTGACACAGGTCAGAGTATTTTGGCGGTTGCCATCTTCAAACGGTCGTATCTTAAAAACTATAACTCCTACAGTGAAGAGCTTTATATTGTGAGACTCACAAGACCCAGACCTACATTTTGATGCATAGTATGTCTCTGAAGTATTAAAATTGAAGGCACAGTCGCAGTTTAGAAATTGCACTTCAAATTTGAGCTTTGCAGAGTGAAGTTTCAATGAAAGTCAATGGACGGCATTAGTTGCAAACAAATGATTATATTGTGAAAACTATCAGGACTATGGCTTAGCCGTTGACATGTTTAGTGGCAGCAGGGATAGCTGAACGTTTTGATAAAAGATTTGTGTAGGTGGGCCTGAAAATGAGGGAGTGGTGGCAGTTTAGAAATCATGTCCTGATTCTTCAGCTTTTGCCAGCTCCCACTCTAGCTTTGCCATTCATTCCTATGGGACAAATTTCACCACAAGAACGACGATATTCCGTGAACCATTCGGCGAAATGTTCCACAAAGTAATAGCAATCCGATCGGGAACAATCTGCACGTTTTGGTAAATTTTTGTCTATGTAGTGTAAAACTGTGGGAGGAGTTAGGGTGGCAAATTTTGCTATAATAAGAATAATAATAATAACTAGAAAAGCTACAATTTCTGGGGAAATTGTGTGAAGTGTTCTTGCCTCCACCAGTAGTCTACAACTGGAGTGGGCGGAGTAACTTATCATTTATATAGCACATTTAATTGCAACGTTGTTGCACAGTTACATTAAACCATACATTTATAAAAACATTAGCAGGTGTTCAAAAGGCCCTGTCTATGACATCACTTACTGCTGCAGCTTGACACAGGTCAGAGTATTTTGGCGGTTGCCATCTTCAAACGGTCGTATCTTAGAAACTATAACTCCTACAGTGAAGAGCTTTATATTGTGAGAATCACAAGACCCAGACCTACATTTTGATGCATAGTATGTCTCTGAAGTATTAAAAATGAAGGCACAGTCGCAGTTTAGAAATTGCACTTCAAATTTGAGCTTTGTAGAGTGAAGTTTCAATGA